TTTTTTTTTTTTTTTTTTTCTCCTCGCTGTTCCGGTTTGTATCCCTGCGCCGAGCAGGAACGCGCCTGCTTTAAATTTCTGAGTCATTAATTTAAATGTTTGATCGTCACACTTCATCAAGCCTCGTCGCCTTCCCCACGCGTTAAACCGAATGTATCGGGACACGCGGAGGCCCCAGTCCCTGCGGAGGCTGCGCGTAACTTTCCGCGCTGTGCGGACCCGCAGGCGTGCTGCGCGGGAAGTTGCGCGCACATCGGGGCCGAGGGCCGGCGTGGCGGCTTCTCCATTGTACAATATTGCAAACGGTCGGGTTTATCGCATCCACTTCGGAACGGTCTGTTCCCGCTGTCTGCTACGCGTGTGGGTACGGGCCGCTTTGCGCTGGGAAAACTAGGATAGAAATATTTCCGAACCTCAGGTTGTTTAAGAAAGTGTGTTCAGATGTACCTGCTGGATTTAACCCAAAGCAGAGGCTGATCGTTCTTTAAACAATAGACGTTTGGATTTCTTTAAACTGGCAGAATGATCCAAAACCAGTTTAAAACTTGTGGTGTGTTGCCAAGGAAGGTGTATTGTTTTTCTCTCAATAATTCATAGATGGCTGAATGAAATTTCAGGAAAATTGTGCAAGCAAAATTGACCTTTAGTCAGGGAAGCAAGATACTAAAGTTTAACTTAGCGTCTTTTTCTTTCATTTTTGGAAAGTAAACCCGTGAAGAAGATGGGTTTCTGATAAAATGCCTTGTCAGTTACACTTGCAGTATCTCCGTCAGTAGGTAGTACAGCTTTGCCCTAACGCTATGTTTTTGCAGACTTCGTGGATATAAAAATTGCACTTTCATGTTTCTGATACATGGCTGTAAATTTAGCTGCACAAGGTTCCCGCTAAACATGGAGCGGAGACTGTTGGTGTGTTTTGCACAGGCCAGGTGCCGGGGTTAATTTTGGGACGAGGTAGCATCTGTGAGGGGAACAGAAAGAGAGCTGTGCTGAATTTCAGAGAAAAAGACCCAGCCATACCCGGGAGTTAGTTGGTATGTGATTGCCAGTAATTATTCCACAGGTTTTGTTAGCTTTATTTCCTCGGGAGGTGCAGCTCAAATGCAACTGCAGTATGTGTGTGCCATCAGTCCCTCTAATAACTCTTCTGGCTGTTAGCCAATTTCAAACAAAGTTGGCAGCAGAGGTCTCCCGGATGAGCAATTTCTATAAAAATTGTGAAAGTAAGGAAGCCAGGTAGAAGAAAGCTCTTAACCTGCACACAGGAGAGTTCATGTCAACACATCTCAAGCTGGAAATTGATGCAGGAAATGGGCCTCCCTGGTTTTGCTGCTCACAGAGCTACTGGTCCAGTTTTCAATAGCTTTTTAATATCTGGACCCCAGAACCGCTCTTTGTAACGTGAAGAACTTCATTCAGAATGGGAGTAGTGAGCCCAAGGTAGATTTAATCTGGGTTTTGTGTTATAAAGAGAGATTTTCAAAGGGAATATTTATTACCTAACAACAGTTCTTTGGCTATGAAACAAATAGAAGGAACTGAAAGTACATTTAAATTGCTACATTATTTGAAATAACTAGAAAAATAATTTAATAAATCTTTGGTGTTTTGTGTACATTTATTCTTCCCAGACTTCTTTATAGACAGAATTACTGAAAAACTGCAGTTCACAATTTAGCTTTTATAATCAATATTCACATAGCAGAGAACTACACTTCTGCACTAGCGGAATATTCTTTACATTGAGCTTTGCATACCTCCTGCAGCTCCTGAAGGATGAAATTGGCACTCTTTGCTCCAGTGAAGGAATGCTGTCATGTGACAGTGATGTGAAAGTCTGCCGTTTGGCACATGTCAGTTTACATGGTCAAAGTTTACTTTATGAACAATGTAGCTTTATGTGTTTACTTTTCTATATGTGTTATCTGCGGACAAAAGCTGTATATTTTCAATAGATAATTCCTTGTGTTCAAACCGTTTGTTAAAAGAAACACATTATTTCATCTGTATTGCCTTCTTCAATCCAGCTGTTTTGCCTTGAACTTTGATTGCAATTTGAGTAAGCTACCTTGATGTTAATCTAAAAATTGGTGTCAGCATTAACACAAGGACTACTTTAGGAACGCGTCCTTATTCTGCTGCGTCACATCAAGCAGCCTTTTTCAGATAGGACACCTTCTGTGCATAGATACACAGTCTGGTTTCTGTGAAGCCCTCGTCAAAGTTTTCAGGCTTCTAGTACTGGAAGTCCTCTGCTAGTTGATGGAACAGATTGATTAGTGAGGGAGAAATGTACTTTCTCAAACTACTGTAACAGAATGGTTTAGTTTTTGTCCCAGAGAAGCCACCTCCAAATACAAGTAGATAGTTCATTTCCAGCATTTATCTCATTTTCGTTCTCCTTGAGAATCCCAATAGGGTGCTGTTTTATAGTGATGGATTTTATGATGTGGCAGCCACTAATTTTTTAATTTTTTTTTAATACAAACTGCTTTACGGTTGCCATATGGTAACTTCTTTCAATAACTACAATCCCTGTCTGCATTCAAACCAATGACTTAGAGCTGTAGAGTTCCAGATTGTATTATCAATTGCCAGGTTTTGAAGGCAAACCTGGACAAATTCCCATGTGTATGCTGAATTTAGTAGGGAAAAAGACATAGTGAAAAGATGCTATCAACTAACTGTAGGACAGGTTTAATTTTAGGGTTTAAGGGGTCATTACTGCATTTTCCACCTATGAGTTTATTCTTAATGGTGCCAATGCATCAAAGCAGAAACTGGCACCAAAGCAAGTTACTGAAACAAGTGGAACTGCACTCTTAGGTAAAGTTAATGTGCATGGCTGCTTGCAGGATCAGACATCAAGATGATAGTAACGTTAATGCTAGACATTAAATAAGTAAACATTACTACTTACGCATGAGTTTTGTTTCCTTTAGATTTGAACACGTTATTGAAAAGTAAAGGTTAACTGGAAATAGGATGGAAAATACTCCTGTTGTCACTTTGGGTAGGCACCTGCACAGAGCATTGGGTTTCATGCCATGTCCCAAAAGTCAGTGGTTCAAAGTCACACTCAGCTGAAATAAGCCCCTGAGCTGAGGGTCTCCTGCAAGGGCTGCTAGCCCTGGCTTGGATCCGAGCCCCACAGCCCAGTGGGATACTGCCGCAGGGATCATTGGTAGAGCGGATCCAAGGCTGCATCGACTGTAGTGGCCAAGACTGGGGTGGTGTTTCGATTTTTCTTGACTGTAGCATTAGGTAATGTTACAGGCTATGGTTGGAGAGTGCCGAGGAGGTAATGACCGCTAAAACGTCAGACTGGCATAATCTGTATTTCAGCTTCTTGAGGTCTCTAAGATGTTGCATAGGAAACATAGCAAAATTTTTTTTGCTAACTTGGCTGTATTTTATCTTTGTATTTTTGGAAGGCAAATGCTATTACAATAGTGTTGTGTGAGACTAATAAGTATGTTGACTACATCTGTATCTTAAATGTTTATGTAAATTCTGAATTCTGATGGTGCTACTGAACTTCAAAAAAATTTGTCTTTCAGATTGGTACTTCAGGGGGATGAAAAAATTACGTGGCTTGAGATAGATGGTTATGTGGCTTTCTTCACACCAGAAGCCTATAGAGAAGTCTGGGAAAAATAAATTATTCTTCAGAAGTATTGAGCCACCCCTTCAATCCAGATTTTAGGATCAGCTAGACCAGGCTTACAAAAGTGAATAACTTCATTTATTTCTGTTGACAGTGAAGTTGAGTAAACACACCCACATAAGTAGATCTTTGTAGATCAGGGCCTTTAACTTTGTTTCGGGGAAACTTTCAGGAGCATTTTGTGGCATTAATCAGACATTTAAACTCAGTCTTCTCATTGGAAGACTTTGGTTCAGTGCGGTTAATTTCCTTTGTTTGCACATGCCCAAAGCACCTTCTGGTCTTGTAAAACTGAGACAGTAATAGTCTTTTATTTATGGTGTGAATGATGGAGCATAAATGCAGTCAGGACTTGGGTATGTTTACCAGGACTGATGGCCCTGTAGCAAAAGAAGGGTTGGAGTGGTGGATGGAGTTCATGTTCAGTCCCGTTCCAAATGTTTGTCCATAGTTCAGGCAAACTTTTTGATGGTGAGCATAAAGTTCAGCTTCAGGAGGAAAAACAGAATGTCTGGGCTAGAGGTTTCAAAATTTTCAACTGTACTTAACACCCTCCCAGTTTGTAAGAAAAGGCAGTGCTTGCATGAGGTATTTAAAGAGTAATTAGAGGGTACTATGAATCTCTTGTGTATTGCAGTTGTATAGCATTATAACTGTTTTGGCAGTCAGCCAGGAAAAGAAGACTTAAAACAAATTAATAGTGAACAATCCAGTTTTCCTAAGTTATTTTAAGTATGGTTAGATAACAAAATTAATATTGATGCTTAAAATGTGACAAAGGGAAAACAGGTCTAAGCTGTTATGTGTATCTTATTGCTTTTCAAGAACATTTTACTGAAAACTAAAATCATGACTGACACTTGTAACCACAGAAGAATCATTAAAAAGTCCTTCTGTATACCTTGCTCTTTCTTTCCACACTTTTCTGCTTTCAGGTTGTTTTTTACCAGCTTAGTTTGTTCAACATAAATACTGTATTTTGCCAGCAACAGTACCCCAAAGTCCAGGAGATAAAAAGACTGTCAAGGATAGCGTGGCCACAGGCTTTGCTGGTTCTTAGGTGCCCTTCCTGAGCATCCAGTATTGCCCAGCATCACAGGTGGTGGGGACCAGTGGTGAATCTCTGGTCTGATTCAGAGCTATTTGGGCTAGATGGACTTCTGGTCTGATTCATAACAGCTGGCCTTTCAGTAGGCTTAACTTAATGAATACATGCCTCAAAGATGAGTAACACTGTTAAGGCTTTGGGCAGAGCATGCTCCACTGAAAAATGAATA